ATCAAGCCTCTGTCCCTCGTTTCTACATGAGCAGCTAAAGTGTGGTGATTTTATTAGCACAGGTGAGTATGATGTATTCCAGAAAGTAACTTCGCGCTCTATTTCGTATACACCTTCATATCGATGATAAAAGTGCTACCCTAGATTTTCGAGGTACAGTATTTTTTAAGGGTGAAGCAGGGTGCCTCAAGATCAATTCAAGGTTATTCGGTTTAATGAGAAACACAATAACAATATACAAAAATATACAATGGCAATATATCTGAGACCCGTTTGAAATGTTTGACTTAATCTTTGGTAAAGCAACAGCAGAACTCGTTTGAAATAAAACTAATCGCCGAAGAGCTTTTCTTTCCCTTACGTTCGAAGAGTAGGTAGAATTATAATAGGAATACGTGATACAATTGGACGTTGCTAAAGATGCATGATATTCGTCATTTGGGGAGTGTAAAAGTAATTAAATTTGAAAAAATATTGACGTTTTGATAACTGCAAAATAACAAAGGGATGATAATATCAGAAATAGTTTTTTTATTGAATTAGTTCGAACTGAAATGAAGGCCTTAAAATTCGTTTTACAAAATGCATACAATTTAAATTCATAAATACTCCTTATTGGCTGGATAAGACAGGCGTTATAGTAGCCCGAGAACAGATAATCATGGGTTAAAGGAAAAATATTAATATATTATAGTGTAAAATCAACAACATGAGAAGCTTAAGAAAAATATTCAGTTTATGTAAATAAATATTATTTTCCACTGACTGGAATTAATCAAGTCCGAATTTTAAAAGGAAAACGCGGTTCAAAGAGTTTTTTTGTATGTATGGATAACGTGACTCGAGCACTTCAATAGTACATTATAACTGTGACGTATATTTAACAATCAATCCTGTTAACAATTAATGAATGAGGCTGAATATAATCTTATTAAGAGTTATCGAGATCGAGGGGGGTGTTATCCGTGGAGGCTGTAGGCCGAGGCGGATAACACCCTCCGAGATCTCCATTATTCTTCATATGATACGAATTTAAGCCGAATTCAATAATTGTTTTATTAAAGTACAAACATAAAGGACTGCAAAGGGCCGCAAACGAATATGCCAAAGAACGTAGGATCTATAAAGACCTGATCAGCAAAAATAATAATATAGACATATTAAATTCTGCAAGCAGAATACTGCAATGCTGATCGTACTACGTGAAAATTAACTCTGCAAGACATTAACACGACGCCGAAAGAACTCAAAACAGAGCGGGATTGTAGCCATAGACAGCCGTTTCGCCCTTTTTGGGGCTCGTCAGTATGGCGCAACAACCAGAGAAAAACTCTGATGAAAAATATCCGCGCACTCTGATTTTAAGCTCTGACCCAGAACCCTCAACACTCACAGAATCACGCCATTCCACGTGTCTCCTGGAGGGCAAGAGTGTCAAAGCTTGTCAAGTCGATGTCTCGCAGAGAAAATAAAGAATTGGCCAAAACCAACCTCAAAAACATGGGAAGAACCACGTAAAAATTACAGCATATCGGATCCATAAAAGATCTACGGCCCAAAAATTAATAAAGTACAAACATTTTAACTTTGTACTTTATTAATTTTTGACGAGCTCCCAAAAGGGCGAAACAGTTGTCTATGGCTACAATCCCGCTCCGTTTTGAGTTTTTTCGGTGTCGTGTTGATGTCTTGCAGAGTTAATTTTCACGTAGTACGATCAGCATTGCCGTATTATGCTTGCAGAATTTAATATGTCTACATTATTATTTTTGCTGATCAGGTCTTTATAGATCCTACTTCTTCGGCGTATTCGTTTGCGGTCCTTTGCAGTCCTTTATGGTTTATGTTTGTACTTTATTAATTTTTGGTCCGATATGCTGTAATTTTGCATGGTTCTTCCCATGTTTTTGAGGTTGGTTTTGGCCAATTCTTTATTTTCTCTGCGAGACATCGACTTGACACTTGGAGTCTTGCCCTCCAGGAGACACGTGGTATGGCGTGATTCTGTGGGTGTTGAGGGTTCTGGGTCAGAGCTTAAAATCAGAGTGCGCGGATATTTTTCATCAGAGTTTTTCTCTGGTTGTTGCGCAATACTGACGAGCCCCCAAAAGGGCGAAACAGCTGTCTATGGCTACAATTCTTCTCTGTTTTGAGTTTTTTCGGTGTCGTGTTGATGTCTTGCAGAGTTAATTTTCACGTAGTACGATCAGCAGTGCAGTATTTTGCTTGCAGAATTTAATATGTCTAAATTGTTTTATTATTCATTCAAAATAATTCGTAGTTTAAAAACAAAGCTAAAACATGCTTACATCCATCGATGTTAAGTTCACCTTCGATAGTGCACGTTTAGGGTTGTTCAGCTCCGCAAATATTCTCCAAATAGTAGATGTGGCCCTTCGAGTTGTGTTCTTGCTGTTCTTGCAATGTTTTTAGCTATAATTTCTTACTCTTGAAACGAGTTAAATGCCCGCCATTTTTTGTTTTCACAACCAAAACAACTTAACCTCGTCCCCAGGTCTTCTCGGTTAACGGTCCATGAACCTGCAAGAACGCTGCATTTTTGACGTTATTTCCTCGTTAAACGCAAAGTTCTTCCAAATTTGGTCATCAGTACTCCGGCTGGTTGTGGTGAATTATGCGTGTGCTTTTAGCCAATCAGAATCTGGGAAATATTTTGTATGAATAATAATTTAGCTTTATATTCAAAAAAGTATTGTTCTCGCTCATTGCTTTGTTACATTTCAGGGCGTCACACAGATAATAGATTTGAAATGCATCAAGCCTCTGTCCCTCGTTTCTACATGAGAAACTAAAGTGAGTGGTGATTTTATTAGCACAGGTGAGTATGATTTATTCCAGAAAGTAACTTCGCGCTCTATTTCGTATACGCCTTCACATCAATGATAAAAGTGCTACGGTAGATTTTTGTGGTACAGTGTTTTATAAGGGTGAAGCAGGGTGCCTCAAGATCAATTCAAGGTTATTCGGTTTAATGAGAAACACAATAACTGAATATACAATATACATATAGTATATACAATGACAATATATCTCAGACCCGTTTGAAATGTTTCACTGAAGTGCAATGTTGATCTTAAAGATCTTAAAGATCGTTAAGCAACAGCACAACTCGTTAGAAATAAAATTAATCGCCGAAGAGCTTTTCTTTGATACACAGCAGAACAATTGACTTGGTAAACTCCGTGCCGATTATCAGGGGCACCCAAAGACAATTTTCGGAAAATATATGTTCGGAAGATGATTTGAGATCTAGAATTTTCTGAGCATTTGTTTAAAAAATTTCTTGCTTGTCTACCTCTCCTAGGATTTTCGAACATCTAAAAAAGTGTATAATTGCCCATTTTTAACGGATTTATACCCTGAAAAGGTCACCTATTTTCGGGAGCCTTTTTTTGGCTGAAATTTTCGAAAAGGTAAGTTTTGCTCCCTATAATTTTCGAATCACTAGACTTTCAGCTAGGAAATCCGAACAGGTGAAAAATTTTTAGGGGATAAAAGTATGCCTATATCTACCGTTTAAAAATGCTATGTTTAAATGGTTTTGAACTATTAATATTCTCGTCGGGTGCCCCTAGATAATCTCTTGTAGGTCGAGAGTACTGTCTTTACTCTTTTATGATAGTTCGACGTGAATGAAATCGAACTCCCTGAAAAGGGATTTTTAATCCCGAAGGCGGCCATACTGCATGCATTTTTTACAATCCGGATATTGTGTTGACGTAACCTATAATTGTAGTAATTATTTGTTGGTTATCTAAATCATGACTTATGATGTGCAATGACCATGAGCCCCGATAGATTTCCGTCTTTTTGATGTTTTTGTAAGCGGTTTTAATTTTCGTCCTTATCATAAAAATTGTATATAGTCACACCTGAATTTTACATGAACAATGAAGAATCCTCAGGTGCCATCGAGATGGTGATTCAGCCTGGTGAGAGTAAATAAATGTGTAAACAGAAACAAAAGAAAGTGCAGAGTCAAGGAGCTCTCAACAGCTGTTATTTTCGCCTTTGATGTTTGTCGGGTTTCATAAGAAGTCTCTTTTGACTATGTCTCCATCATATAATTTTAAACTTAAGATGGATCAAAAAGCCAAATTTCTTTGCAAATGTTAGCCTTAATTGCCTTGTCCTCCTCCTTTTCTTAAATAAAAAAGACGCCCTGAAAAAATATATATTCGCGGACATTTGCCGAAACCCCAGCAATAGCTCAATCATAATCGTCCATTGGAATTCTTTAGAAAAACACTCACTACGTGACTGATGTTTAAATCCGATCAGAGCAGGGTAAAATTTAAATTAGGTCGTTAACGCCTTTTCTTGGAGTGGGATCGTATCTTGACCATTATCAGTCATTCAAAATATTTCATTGTTTCAGATTGGCTTTTACCTCCCTAGGCTTAAGTGGGCGATATACAATCCCGGATTTAAACACGATTATATCGGCAATTGGAATTTTCACAGTCCTCTATTTTTTACGTAAGATCATCAGGAGCGAGAGCTTACTGGTACGGGAGGCTATCTTGGTTCCATAACCGTCCCCTGCCCCCTAAGTAGATTTCACACTCATCCCTAGGCTAAACTCAAAACATTTGAAACCAAGATGGCGGCAGTAACGCAAAGCGCTCGATCTCAAAGATCTTACGGAAAAATTGGGAACGTGTTCTTAAGGAAAAATGGGCATTTGGTTTTCTGCGTTGGTCAAGTTACTTTTATAACTATATCTTAAAGTTTCAGTTTTTAACTGGCTTTTCAATTGTATTATATTTAAACAAGATCTAACATTGTTCTAAATAATAAATACAAATGATTCATTATGTTCATGTTTTTCATCCCAATCCCAGTAAAAAAAAGCGAAAAAAAAGAAAATTAAAATCGAAACTTTTTGCTTTGATAACTAAATAACTACCTTCATTAATTTATCTCAATAACTTTTTCAGGTTAAACTACTAATCGCAAGTACTTATTAAGATATCTACATGGATAACTCAAGCCACGTTGGAGACGAGCCTTGCTCTCAGGCAGTTTCTATTGTCTTCACAACAGTGTTGGCTATAATCAGTTTGGCTGCGTTTATTGGCAACATTTTAGTGATGACGGTGGTTTACAAGACCCCAAGCCTTAGAACAAGCACCAACTACTATTACGTCAACATGGCGGTGTCAGATTTCCTTTCTAGTCTCACATTATGGCCACTGTACCTCACTGATGAGATAATAACACAGCGAGGAAGCCTGATTAAAGGCCCAATGGCCACTGTCGGGTGTAAAGTTGGGGTGTACGTGAGGGTATTCTCCACCTCAGTCTCTATTCTCAGTTTGGTGTTGATTGCAACCGACAGATACTTTGCTATAGTATTTCCCTTAAAAACTTCAATTCTACTGTCACGAAGAGTTAGAATAACTGCGCTAGTAGCAACGTGGATAATATCGATAGGCTATTGCTTCCCTATGATATATTTCTCTAAAGTGGAAGACGTGGAAGAAGAGCGTTTCTGCAGATTTGCATGGAACGATACTGGTGCTCTTATAATCTATTACGTCACTGGAATTTCTATGTTTAATGTCGCGCCTCTAATTGCAATTGTGATTTTGTATTCTCGTATTATGCAAGCATTAAGGAAAAAACTCATTTCAGGACCCCTTTCTGGAAACACAAATTCAGAAGGCAAAAGATGCAAGCAATTGCAACACATTATGAAAATATTCAAATCAATTGTGATAGCCTATTCTACTTGCTTTTTTCTTTTTTGCGTTTATTTGATTTTGAAGATCACTTTCCCTGAAATTTTCATCAAGGATAAATGTAAGTGGATTCTCGGCTTTTCCTATTTTGTTCTTCCGTTGCTCAGCACAGCAATGAACCCAGCCATTCTTTTCTTTTTTAGTTCCAACTTCCGTCACGCCTTGCAAACCTTGTGGCCATTTCGGCGAACCAATTTCTGTTGTTCATGTTTTAAGGGAAGAAAGGCAGAAGACCCAATAAGACAAAACGACCACGTGGAACTACAGTCCATATAAGGGCGCGCGTGATGGCGCGTACTGTCGCCAATTACTTGGGCATAACGCGTATTGTCCTATTAAATTGTCCTGTTAAGGCTGAAATCAGGGCAGTTGATAGCCAATCAGATTTGAGAATTTTGTTATAGTTATGATTAACAATTTGATGAGGCTGAGTATGATCTAACCTGTGTCGCAGACGTAATTTGTCCTCGGTTTATAGTAGCCTCTGCGAAGCAGTGCTGATATCAGCCTTGCTCTGGGCATCAACGGACTTAACGAATTAGCGGAAGTGCGTTTCGAATTTCCTTTCATGTTGATTGGAAAATCGACAATGTCTTTTTTAACAGACCAATCATAGCGCGTACTCAAATCCTGGTACACAGGTGGGGATCTAGAACAAGGATTTTGGCGCGCTATTTCGCAGACGGACTAAACCAGAGGTTAGTTCCGTCTGTCACAAAACCAGAAGGGACCAAAAAGACAGAAAAGAGGCCAAAAAGGAAAGCGCAGAGGCAGATAACTCTTTTTAGATATATGTATAATTCTTCAACTAAAAGGGAAGCCGAATCCAATTATTGTTTTATTAGTCCTCTAAAATATATACTGTAGTAATACACTGTCAGGTATGTGTATGTGAAATAGTTTGCCGGCGAAAACAACGTTCCAACAGAGGATCGAACTTCCCCAAATTCCTAGATCCGCCCCGGGTTTCTTCTCTTCACATATGCATTAAACCGTTGAAAGACCCTCTTTATTTCAGGGCTAAACTTGTTTATATATTATTGGAAATAACTTTCATATTTAATACCAGCTTTATTTGCGATCGTTATCATCCTCGTGTATCGAGCGCAACGTAGAAGGAGGAAATATTAAAAAAGGAGTCATTTGAATTTCTCTTTGTGGAGAGTAGCTAGAACTGAGTTAATTACGTCATTCAACTGGACGTTACGGAAGATGCATAATGTTCGTCAGGAGCATATTGAAAGTAATTGAAATGAAATGAAAAATTGACATTTTGATTATCACAAATTAATTACAAAGGGAACAAATATCTCGATCGGCAGTAGTCTGATCTTTTCATAGCATTAGCACGATTATGAAGGCCTTACGGTGCGTATTACTAGTAATAATCATTGACTGTGGATCTGCGTTCGTCTTCGGTCTTATTCTCTTGCCTGTTGGATTCGGGCAAAATGGGAAAGTGAGCGGGGAGGAGAGGGGAGGGAAGGGGAAGAGGTGATAACATTTTTTGAAGGTGTTGTTTTGTTGCGAGTACCACTAAAATGCCTGAAATTTGAAGTAATTTAATCGTATTTACTCATTGGGGGCTTGAGAAGCCAAGCGTTAAACCCGCCGAAATGGGCTAAACGAAAACTGCACGCGGTCAGCAACATATATAAGAAGCTAGAAAAAACAGTTATGTAATATTTTGATCTATACTGAACGTTTTCCACTGACTTGAATTAATTAAATGCTGCATAGTCTAAAAGAAAACGCCGGTTCAGGGAGTGTTTTTTGTATATAGACGACGTATTACGTAACACATGCGTTTCAACAGTATCTCTGGCTCAATGACTGTGACGTACGTATTCGCTTAATATTCAAATATGATATGTCCTCTCCCATTGCTTTCTTATCAATCACACAGACGCGACAAGCCTCTGTTTCTCGTATGTAATATATATGGGTAACTGAGCCCAGGTGAGTTTGGTGTATCCCACTTGGTCTATTTCCTGTAGTACGCAGTAATATTATCGATGTTAAAAATGCTGCTGGATCGTTTCAAGACATAGCATTTTTTAAAGGTGGCGCAGGGTGCCTCCAGGTCAATTTGGTTTAATACAGAACACGCCGGTAATACATCTATGACCCCATTGACACGGGGTCCAGAAAAATATTTTGAACAAATTATTTTTTTTCCTGTCCACAACCCCGGCGTTTACACGAAGCTGCGCAAATTCTGTTACAGATTGCAGTACTGTTAACACACTTTGCCGTTCAAAAACTTGCACGGTCCCGCGGATCGGTGTGTTCAGAACGAAAAGGGGATCCGTGCAGGTTTTTGTCCGTTCAAAAATTTTTCCAGACCTGTGTAAACGGGATCTAAGAATCGTTTGAAGTGGTGGGCAGGTCGAAGCCGGTCTCGAACTACGGCAAAGCACTGAACAGCACAACTTACACACGAAAGAGCCCGAAGAGCTCTGCTGTGATACACGGAACAATTGATTTGGTAAAAGCGTGCAGATGATTCTTTGTGGAAGTAATCTATAAAATTTCTTTTATGATAGTTCGATTTTCTCTAGTCGAACCTTTCTGTCAGGCTACTGGTGAATTGATTTTACAGGTGTAGATCGACTTTCGTGGAATTATATATCACGAAGACAGTCATGCAATAAATGTGTTTTTAAAATGCAGATATTGTGTTCAATCCACATGTAACCTATACTCGATTATACATCATAGATATGAATGTGCACTGACTATGAAGCCCGATACTAAGATAATATTCTCCTTTTAACTGTTTTTGTTATCAGTTTTCTTCCTGATCGTACTTAGGCCATGTCCAAACGAGTCCAGACACTTTTGGAACAGAATATTTTTTGTCCGGATTTGTGTGGACGTGGGACGGTTAAACCTCTCTGGAGAGAGAGGTTTAAAAAAATGCGGTTTCGGTATCCGAATTCACTGGTTTCGTATGGACGGAGGGCCGATCCGTGAAAAAAAAAACTATGCAGTTTAACAAATATCCTAATTCGTGTGAACATGGCCTTACCGTACAATCACGCCTGATTTCTACATGACCATTTGAACCCTTTGCCACTGCGATGGTGATTCAGGGATAACGTGTAAACAAACAAAAGCAAAAGAAACAAACAAAAGATTATGCAGAGTGAAGGAGCTTCCAACAGCTGCTATGTTCCCAATTGAATTTTTGCCGGCTTTCTTAAATAGTGTCCTTCATAACGTTGAATGTGTAGCCTGAGATTAATCGATTTAAAACCCAAGATAGATGAAAAAAAGCCAAACGGCTTTGAAAATTTTAACTCCTATCCAGAAGCCCATAATCAGGAGCGAGAAACTTCCATGCGTTCGTGTCACGGCGTTTTCACGGACCAGTTTATTATTAGAACGGTTTTGGCGCGAATTTTGAATATCTTTTAAATTCCACAAACCAGTCAGCAAAACCTACAGACATAAAAATAATTATATTTTTTGCCTTTTAATAACGTTTAGTTTCCAATTTGATATCTTATACTTCGAATGCGTTCATGGACATGGTGGGGATTCCATTTTTCTGGAAAAAGTGCCCAAAAATGTGTCTAAAAATAAACTGGTTCATAAAAGCGCCGTGACATAGGCCTAGTATGGGAATTGCTCGCTCCGGGTTATGGGCTCCTGTCCTAACTGACTTGCCAATGGTTTAAGAATGGAGCATTATCCAAACCCCAACGGCAATGAAACGTTTCAGATTCTTTGGAGAAACACTACGTGATGTTCAAATTCGGTCCAGGGAACCCCAACTAATTGAGCTGGATAAAATTTAAATTAGGACCTCAACACTTCGTGGAGAGAGATATTGACCACTATCATTTATTGAAAATATTTCCCGGAGGCCGTTTTCAACCTCGTTCCTCGGCCTCGGTGGACAACATCCTTCTCGATCTACATAATCAATCCTTCATATCATACTCAGCCTATTATGGAAAAAGAGTCTATACTTAGCGAAAAGACCATCCATATTTTTCTGTTGAAATTTTCTAAGCTCTCTTTCTCCAAGGCCTTAATTTTTCTAGCCCTCCTGTCGACGTGTAATTTGTGTGTCTGCTTGCTCAGCGGATAGAGCTTGCCCCCGAATTTTTCTTTGCCCCACGCCCGTTACATGACAAGCATTTCCCTTTACCACCTTCTATTTTTGTTAATTACCATCATTAACTTGTCTCAATAACCTTTTCAGGTCAAATTAATCGCAAGTACTGAAAATGCTACATTGAGATATTTAAATGGATAACTCCAGTCACGTTAGCAACGGGCCTTGCCCTCTCGCGGTTTCTGTTTTCTTCACAACAGTGTTGGCTGTAATCAGTTTGGCTGCGTTTATCGGCAACATCTCACTGATGACTGTGGTTTACAAGACCCCAAGCCTCAGAACAAGCACCAACATCTACTACGTCAACATAGCAGTATCAGATTTCCTTTCCAGTCTCACTTCATGGCCGCTGTACTTCACAGATGAGATTATAATAAGTCCAGGAATTCTGATTCAAGGTCGTCTGGCCACTACCGGGTGCAAAATAGGAGTGTACGTGAGGCTAGTCTCAACATCAGTCTCGATTCTCAGTTTGTTATTAATCGCTACCGACAGATACATTGCTATTGCATCAAAACATCATTGTAATATCTTCAAAACGTCATTGCTACTGTCACGAAAAGTTAGAATAACTACGTTGGTAGCAGTGTGGGCAATATCGATGGGCTATTCCTTTCCTATGCTCTATTTCTCTATCGTCGAAGAAGTCGGCGAAGAGCGTTTCTGCAGATTTGCATGGAACGATACTGTTACTCTAATAATCTATTACGTTAGTGGAATTACTATGATTAATGTTGTACCTCGAATTGTGATTGTGATTTTGTATTCTCGCATTATGCAAACATTAAGCAAAAAAATCTATTCAAGACCCCTTTTTGGAAGCATAAATTCAGAAGGGAAAAGAAACAAGAAAATGCAAAATATTATGAAAATATTCAAATCAATTGTAATAGCGTATACTTCTTGCTTTTTTCTTCTTTGCGTTTATTTGATTTTAAAGATGTTTTTTCCTGAAATTGTAACCAAGGATAAATGTAAGTGGATTCTTGGCTTTTCATACTTTGTTTTTCCGTTGCTCAGTACAGCCATTAACCCCATCATTCTTTTCTTATTTAGTTCCAATTTCCGCCACGCCTTGCAAACCTTGTGGCCATTTCGACTGAAAAATTTCTGCTGTTCATGTTGTAAGAAACGAAAGGAGGAAGATCTAATAAGACAGGACGAACAAGTGGAACTACAAATCCTGGTCAAAAACATAAATTAAATGTAATTCACTCACGAAATGCCTCAATTAGAGCTCCTAAAACGTTGTGTGTGTTTGATGCGTTCTTGATCAAATGGAATCGAGAAATACTGGGTTTTGAAAATCGTGAAAAGCCTGAGTACCGGTAGGAAAACCTCTTAGAACTCCACCCACATATGGGTGTCGTCACAGCTGGCAACATATAGGTGGGGGACGTTGTAGAAATTGACGTTTGTCATTAGCAGTAACCGTGTTTCGAAAGCTCTCCATTGACGTCATCTTATCGGATATCGCAAATGTCTTTCAAATTTGGTCAATTGTAGCTGCTTGTTATGAAAGATTAGCCGTGGGGTTTAAGCCAACGTGAAAAAATTATATTTTGAATGAACAGTGATGAAATTTATTGCTTATAGCTGTTGCGAATGCCCTGTCAGTAATAGGTAGCAATTGCTGATCGCTTTAGGTTTTCTCTTTTTGAATTAAAAAAATTCAAATTTAAAATGTCCGTTTTAATGTCAGAATTTGTATTAAACGGATAATAGTACCATTCATTCCGATATTTCCTGTTCGAAATAAGACGTCTTCGATTCAACTTGCTTGCCCTCGCCTTGTCTGGTTTTTAACGTGTCTTGTGTTTCGGTTTTTACATGCATGTAAAGAGGCTTTTTAATTTAATATCTTATTACGTGCCACAAAAAGCATAGCACAAAAGGTTAATTCTCACGACGCCTGCGTTGCTCTCTCGTTGTGTAATAAAAGTGCACTATAAACAACAACATGATATTGTGGCTTTATTACCTACACCACACGTATCAGAGATACCTCACAAAATTCCAATGTTTTGCTACTGCAAGAATAAAAAGTGGTCGATTGTCCATGGCTGATTATTTTTCTCGTCCCACGATTTTAAAAAATTAGATGCCACTATGCGTGTACTGATCGCATCCCTTGTTTGTTTGTAATTTTTACTTAATAAGTGTGGCTTTGAGTGACACTTTTGTTTCGGTCCGGAGACAATTTAACATTAAGAAATTATGAGCTCACACTGGATTATTAAACAACAGAGTACGAATTGAGAAACTATAGGATGTAGATTAAATTAATTAACGCCGTGTTCTGCTTTTCAAAGCTTATTTATATTAAAAACGGACTCGAAATTTCAAAAGGAAGAGTTAGACTTTATAATTTAAAATGACCTTTTATTTGCGCGTGAAAAATCCATTCCTTAAATTACGAATAATTAATCTAATATTAGTCTAACTTGCTAGAGGTTGGCGCGGCATCGAACGTGTCTTATTGTGTGTGCCAGTTTTCATCTTTCAACTGAACATAATTCTGGTTCCTTCAAACGGCTGTAACTTGATTTGGAACACACGGAGTTGTTAAAAAATAGATTTCGATTAGCAAACGTCAAACGTGACGAAGTTTTCTTTACGTGTCGATTACTGTTCAAACACAACAATATTAAGTGTTTTTTTTGCTAGTTTCATTCATAACAGTTATTATTTTTGCACCGTGTTTCTATCTGCTCTACACATTTCTTATTCGAAAAATTATTCTAATAGGCGCAAGCTTGAATCTGACCTTTGCCGTTTACCGTAACTTGGTGGCTCTTAAAATCTAAGGTTTTTAAAAATCTATTTGCCATTACACAAGTTAACAACGTTTGAAGTGTATCTTTCGAAAACAATCAGAAATCGAAGAAGAAGGAAAAGTTACAGTTGACTAAAGCAACTAAAAGGAGCACTGACAGTCTCAGGTGAGAAAGGACGGTAATTATCAGGGGCACCCAACGAGGATGTAGTTCAAAACCACTTAACATAGCATTGTGGAACGTATTTTAGTATTTAAACGGTAGATATAGGCATATTTTTATCCCCTAAAAACTTTTCATCTGTTCGGATTTCCTAGCTGAAAGTCTCGTGATCCGAAAATTATAGGGATCAAAACTTACCTTTTCGAAAATTTCAGCCAGGAAAAGACTCCCGAAAATTCTATAGGTGGCCTTTTTTAGGGTAAATATCCGTTTAAAATGGGTAATTATACCATTATGTAGATGTTCGAAAATCCTAGGAGAGGCAAGCAAGCAAGAAATTTTACAACAAATGTTCCGAAAATTCTAGTTCTCAAATCGTCTTCCGAACAGATATTTTCTCGAAAATTGCCGTTGGGTGCCCCTGAATTATGTTGTTTAAAGGATGGATTGGTTTTCAGTTGCAAGTGAAGTCTTCTTTATTTCAAACCTGTTGGATCTTCGAAAGTTAATTAACAGTAATCTGAAAGCGGCATTTCCTTGCAAAGGCTTAATTATTAATTTTCATCCAACAACAGCTGTAGTATAGTCAAAGGTTTCGCCCATACTGAATCGTCCCACCTTAACGCTGGTTGTAATGTCGAGGGTCTGGCATGGATCGCGTTACCTTGAAGACACTTGGGCACTAATTGCTAAATACCAAAAACTAAATCTCAGATTTGAAGGTAATTCACTAACCAGAAAAATTTATGATTTGCAATACGTGTGTATGAACATAAACGTTTATTTCACTTCTTGACACTAAACACTAAAAAATGCCAAGCTGTGAGCCTCGGTTTTGCAGGGTGTGATAACGGATGGATTCGGTTTTAGAAGCATTATTTTAAGAAAATTAAAAGCATTTCCGAAATTGACCCTTCATAGGAAATCGGTCTTGATTCTTCACTGTAACAGTTCTTCTGTGCAGAAATCTTGAATGTTGTTAATAATCACAAGGATATAAGACAACTCTTGACATTATTAATTATCAATCGTTTTATTCTTCTTTCCATGTGAATATATTAAACAATTATTGGATGAAGTTGAGCATGATATCATGAATGATCAAAACCGAGGTCTGTGTTATCTGCCGAAGCCGAAGGCTGAGGCAGATAATACAGACACGAGGTTTTGATCATTCATGATATCATGCGAAAACCGAATTCAATAATTGTTTTATTATACATTTTTTAAACAATAGGCAAAAGAAGACATTCAGCCATTCTGTTTCAGAGGAGAAAACTCCAAGGGGCTTGGTAACCAGGCAGACGTTGAACTTGACATGATAAATGCAATATCTGCAGCAGATATTCGATTTATCATGTCAAGTTCACAAGCTATTGTGAATTGATTGAATGCTGTCGACCAATCAGATTTTTCATAGTGAGTCTGATGTATAATAAAGATATATGTCAGGAGAGTGGGATCAAACTACTCGATCTTTTAATACGACTATTTCGCACAATAATAAGGGGCACCCAACGAGAATATAGTTCAAAACCACTTTAACATAGTATTGTTAAACGTATTTTAGTACATGTATTTAAACGGTAGATACAGGCATATTTTTATCCCCTAAAAATTTTTCATCTGTTGGGATTTCCTAGCTGAAAGTCTAGTGATCCGAAAATGATAGGGATCAAAACTTACCTTTTCGAAAATTTCAGCCAGAAAAAAGGCTCCCGAAAATTCTAGTTGACCTTTTTAGGGTAAAAATCCGTTAAAAATGGACAATTATTCCAATTTGCAGATGTTCGAAAATCCTAGGAGAGGTATAGGCAAGCAAGAAAATTTACAACAAATGTTCCGAAAATTCTAGATCTCAAATCGTCTTCCGAACAGATATTTTTCCAAAATTGACTTTGGGTGCCCCTGAATAATTGAAAAATTCTTCAATAGCTACAAAACTTAGGACAAAAACTGCACAAGAAAAAAAGATTATTACCAACAGACCGACACTACGGGCTTATATTGCTATTAAAGGGATCTTATCTACAGCGTATCGTATTAAAGGAAATCTGAACTCAGTTCGATATTGGAAACCAACACTAAAAGCAGGAAAACCGGTCGATAAGTGCGTTCTTTTAGGTGCGAAAAATCTCAAACAAAATTAGTGCATTATGCAATCAAGAGTTTAGATTGGCTGTCATCCAGCATGTAATGTTGTAACTCAAAATGCAATTCAGGTCTAAATGGTTGCCACGTTGTTTGATTCTTAGTTTCATGGTTTCTTAACCCGAATTATTTATGATTGTTGAATAATAAGTGTTAGGATACAAAGAATATTGAGAATCAAGGAACGAAATCATCTTGACTGACCTACAAAGTATATACTATGACAACATATATACTGTAAGTAAGTCAGTATACGCAGATGAACAGAAAGCTTGGTATGTAAATTCACAGCAATAATAATAATTAATAATAATAATAATAGTAATGATAACAATAATAATAATAATAATAATAATAAAATAGCTACCATTATGCCCCACCTGTTCTTGTTTTTACATTAAACGGAGTACTGATAAATTTTTTCCTACATAATATTAATCGACAGGCCAATATCAAAGAGGGTTTGAAAGTTACCATTTGCGTCGAATAATCGCAATGAACAACTCCAGCTCTAACTTGGTTAATTACACGCCATGCCCATACGACATATCTGCAGTCTTTACATCAGTGTTGGCTGTCATTAGTTTGGCTGCGATTATTGGCAACATCTTAGTTATGTCTGCGGTGTACAAGACCCCAAACCTTAGAACAAGCACCAACTATTACTACGTCAACATGGCGGTCTCCGATTTCCTTTCTAGTCTTACATTATGGCCGCTGTACCTCACTGACGAGATAATAACACAGCGAGGAAGTCTCATCCAGGGTTTCGTAGCCACAATTGGCTGCAAAGTGGGGGTGTTTACGAGAAATGTTTCGCATTCAGTATCTATTCTAAGCCTGTTTTTGATAGCTGTCGACAGGTTCATCGCTACTGTCCACCCTTTAAAAGTTACCTTGTTAACAAAGAATATTCGAGCATCCTTACTACTTTCAACATGGATCATAGCCATAGGAGGCAGTTTTATCACATTTCTTTATTCAAGAGTCGACAAAGTTGGGCACGAAACATTCTGCAGATTGGCTCTAGCCACAGACAAGATGATAATACTATACACGTTTGTAATAATTCTGCTCATTGCTTTGTATTCCTCAACTTTAATTCTGTATCTGCGCATCACGCGTGTTTTACAAAGTAGACTTCAGACGAAACACTGTGCACAAAACTTGGACGTAATTAGTGCTAGACAGAATAGAGTCAAGCACAATCGAAACGTGATGAAGATATTTAGGTCGATTGTTATAGCATTTTTCATCTGCTGGTTTTTTTTCTGTTGCTACCTAATACTAAAAATCGTTTTTCCGCAGCTGTTTGTAAGTGACAAGTGCAAGATAGCCTTAGGCTTTTCTTACTACGTATTCCCATTGTTAAGCACAGTCGTGAACCCAGTGATTCTATTTTCATTCAGTTCTAGTTATCGTCATGCTTTAAAAGAAATTTTCTCGTTTTCTCACGAGAAATGTAAGTCATGCTGGGGAGAGGTACCCGTTGCCGCACTCCAAACTAACGAGCGCCAAATGGAGCCAATGGCATTTGAAATGCTCGAACTGCGCGGGCTTGATAAAAAATTTCAGAAAGGCTCCTCGTAGCCTGCGTACTTCCGGTTTTTGTTTGGTGTATGCGCAAATAATGAGCGGTGAAAACCGTTGCCGAAGCCGAAGCCGGAGCTGAAGCTGTTGCGCTGGACTTGTATCAGTGTTTTGGGAGGTCGTGGTTCTTTTTCTTTTAAAGTCATTTCATAAACATTGTAGAAATATAGATATCAAAAGCTGTATAAAATGTCTGCAAAAATGATTCCACAAGCATTTTGTTAATCCATATGTGAAAGTAGGAAAGTCTGTAAATTTACGATTTATAGACATTTGACGATCACTGTAAATGGTCCAGATTTTGCAGTGCGATGTTTTGAGACACGTGGTACCGAAAAAGATTATTCCAATTTAACCGGTTTCAAAGAACATTCCAAGAAAAAGAATCACACTACGTTTCTAAGAATAATATAACGTATTTCTGGGTAAAATATGAAAGAGTCTGATTTTTTATCGAGTGCCACCCTTCACTATTAGAAACATTCACTCTTAGAATTTGACGAAAAATAGCTAGCATAATTGTAAAGATCTCGTTGGCCCCTAATAAACAATGAATATGTCAGGTAATAACGTCTTAAACCGGGATAATTTCATAGCTTTATATAATGGATCCTCGCCCCGCTACAATGTCAGTCAGTTTGGAAAACGCATTCAAGCAAGTTTAAGTGAGGTGCACTACTCGGAGAAACGCTCTTATAAAAATTCTATTAATTTCTCTAAGCAGAGATTTACATGGTGTAAATCACATTCGCCTGCAGTAAATTGTCAACCTGATTGATGGTGGAATATTGGAAGTGCCAGAACAACAGCCACATAACATGTTGGCCTATTCAAATGCACAGTGCCGCCTAATTGCCTCTCCCACAAAAAAGTCAACTAATCCAAAGGAAGCAAGAATTACAAATTATTTACCAAAGTATGATATTTTTAAAAGGATGAATTTGTCCGTTATTGCATTATTTATCTTTTGCTTGCTTTTTGTTTTGTTATGTTGTAGTTATATAACGATCATTTTACTTTACTATTTTCTTTTTAATGGTTTTATGGCTCTCACGAAAAAAACAACTGAACCCCAGATTCCCCTATTAACTGCAACAGCTACACAACGAAGAGAAATCACAAAAACATCGTCACAAAATTGAACGACATCGCATCAAAAATAGTATTAAAAATCGCATATGAATATAGCTAAGGACCGGTTGTCTTGCTTCACCAAACTGTTAGTCACTAGTACTAGGTGAGTTTACTGACTGTGACGTTCCTAAAAAGTTCTTAAAGCTAAATTAAAGAAAACTGGCCCTCAGGAGATTTATAAAATAAAGAACTATGTTTTTTATTTCCCAAAACGAGCATTCAAATGGTTTACTTGCTTAAGAATCTTCTTCGAATTAAGGGTAAATGAAAAAGTTAGAAAGAATAAGGTATATCTTTACTGGCTCCAGTAAATCAGTTGAACTATTCAAATGTCAGTGACACTTATCTACTTTGCCTAATGACAAAACATAGCTTTTGTGACTGTAGAAAAAAAACATGGGTATTTTCAAATCAAAACTCAGGCTATATCAGAGAAAGAGTTCATGCACCAGGGGCTTTGAATTTTAAATGCTCTTAAAATATCAACCTTAATGCACCTATCAATGTAAAGCCGGCGGGGGGGGGGAGGCAGGACATGGGGTGGGGATTTGATTGTCTTTGTTGGCCCTGGGGTAGGGCATTTGACTGATCTTGTTCTCCCAGGGGAGGGGATATTTGAATCTTTCTTCGCCCGACGTCGAGATATTTGACTGCCGACTCGGACGAAAAAGACTGAGACCGAACATATGTTTCCCGCTTTCACGCTTCACGCATGGGCCGTACGGTTTGAAAAGATCAGGAAATCATGGAGGCCAATGACATGCAATGAGAACAAGCAAAGGCTGAGTGGATTTCACTGTTTTGTCTTCAAATTTCGTTTGTTTTAGCGTGTTTTTGATCAATTGAACCTCTTAAAATACTGTGGTATCAAAGTAAACGGAAGTAAAGAGAAACCAAGTCGATTTTTGCAAGTACAGTTGATTAGTGTATGGCTTATTCGCTACATTCACTGTAAACTGATAAAACTGACTTTCTTTGTACCCTTTACTAAGAACGGTATATTTAAACTTACAAAATGTGGACTTTCTCCTAAAGGTTTTTAAGTATTCTACGCAGTGTAACACGGATTATGGTTAAAACGTATAATTGTAGCTGTAACAGGAACATGTATCTTTGGTGATGCAGCAACGTTTATAAAAGATTGCAGAGTTTTATTCAGAGATATTTTTATTGTGCCTTTCTTAGGTTCTGCCTTTGGATTGACAGCAATGTGCAGCCCGGGGTGGGGAAATTTGGTTGCATTTGACTGGAATGATTTGCCCGTGGGCAGGGAATTTGATTGAAAATTTTTGAAAAAAGTCAAATCCACACCCTTTGCCCTGCCTCCCCCCCCCGCCGGCATTACATTGATAGGTGCATAAATCAAATACCTCTTTATTTGCGGAAAACCTGCAAATTCTTTAGACAGGCGCGCGAAAGGTCATCACCTGTACAACCAGTTTCCTAGGCAGCTTTCCTTTCAGCTTAAAAACATAATCCTATAATTCGATTTTCCGTTCCAATTAGTAAGGAACCGATCTTGGATTTCATAACAGATTTATATTCTCATGGAGAGACGCTACTCTGGTACTCACGAAACATTTACAGCTCGCCAGTTTGGTTGAAAACTCCTCAATTTCACGGCAAGTATCATCAAACGCCGATTAAGTCTGACTATCTTACGCCAGCATCAGGAGAGATCAGGACGGATTAGCCTGAAATAGATCTGCATCCGTTACCTCAGTTTGAAAAACACAACCAAGTTACAGGAGTGGAAACTTTCTTCTATAAACTACAAGTGGTTAAACCTAGGAATTAGTATCGTGCAGTTAAAATCAGGAACAATCCCTTCTTCTTTAATTTTTAGGATGATTGTCAGAAGGTGGGCAGAATGCCCTTTGGAATTAATGAAATGAAAAAATAGATATCAGTATGGAAGTGAATAAGGTACATCTTTACTGGTACCAGTGGGAAGAAAAGAAAAGAAAAAGGAGAAAAAGGAACAAGAAACTACCTGAATATGGAAATGAGGGTACGTTTGCTTGTTTAACTATTCAAATGTCAGTTACGCTTATCTACCTGGTCTAATGAGCAGACAAAACAAGGCTATTGTCTTGTATTTTTGAAAGGAAAACTCCGGCCATATCAAAGAAAGAGTGAGGTTGGATTTAAACGCTTTTTCGTGGTTGGAAATGTCATCTGCATCCAGAATTAGAAAGTGTATCTTACCTATTCTTGGTAGGCAATGATTAAATTAAATCTAATTCAATGATGAAACCCAGCATTAGGTCAATATATATATTTAAAAAATTACTCAATGTTGCGACATCTTAAATCCAATACATACCTTTTCATCTGAGGAAAACGTTTCTTATTTTTAAATGGGCAAGCAAGCTTTGTTTAATAACGTCAGAAAAAGGGCATACATGTACAACAAGTTTCTTTTAGGTAGCTTTCTTTTTAGCTAATCTAAATCCGAATTCCATTTCCCAGTTAGCAGGAACCGTTCTTTTATTGTATTTCCAGAGGTGGCTGCTCTCAGGTATTTACCATAAATTTATAGTTCGCCAGTTTCGTTGGACACTTCTAAAATGCCAGAGGTAGAAGAGCACTCTCGGTTCCTACTATAACAAAGTACTTGCCTTCGCCATAGCGGCTTATAGGATTAACTTAAAACAGAATCTGCGCTCCGCTACCTCGATGATCAGTTCGAAAACGAAACCAAGTTACCGAAGTGGAATTGTCCAAAAATGCAGGATTATTAACGTGCAGTTAAAATCTAGGACAGTCCCTTCTTATAAATTGGATCATTATCAGCATATGGGCAGACTGCCTTAGTTAGGAATTACCTAAATTAGATCTCTGTGTAGCTGAGGGCACGATCCTTTCGATTAAAATTAAAATTAAAGATACAAGAATAATATAATAACACAAATAATAACACAAATTATTGAATAATGTAAAGTAGTATTTAAGCGGACGCAGCGCCCCTATAGGCGAATCTTTGCTGACGTCATTTCTTACATTTTTTCTCATTAGCGTATTATTTAACTCATAGAAGCCGTGGTCGTATATATGAACTAAATTCAAAAGTCGGACGAGCTGATTAACTTGAGCAATTTATGCAATTTTCACCTCTTTAAAGTAATATTAAAAGAAATATCAGCCATCGCAAACTGCCAAATTGCTGGGTGGCAAAAAATTTCATGAGCCATACATTCTTTGTAAAATTTCAAGTCTTTAAAGGAGCCTTTGCCCGAAACCATTTGGTATGTTGAGCTCAAATTTTCAGAGATAACTGATATTGTTGTGGTCTTTCAATATTCAGAGGTTTTTTTTTATTTAACTTCATCAGATAATGATGAACATGTTGATAGCGCAAAAATTCGCCTAAGGAGACTGAATCCCCGAGTTGAATGGGCCATCCTGTTGAAATTAAGTTTAACTTTACTGTAACAACAACAACAACAACAACGAAATCCGATAAAAACAAGCGTACTTCATTGTCGAAACAATAAATAAAACTTGGTCGTAGTTTCTACCTCCCTGAGTTACATACATTGCAAACATACCCGGTTTTATTTGGGTTTAAATTTCCATGCATTTTAACTTAAGATTATTCTGGTCGAATCCTTTCTGAAAAGTAACGAAGGAATTTTCCTTAACGTCTGGTAATCGATTATAAATTGTTATTTTTTTAAAAAACCTTCTACTACTAGTATTCGAGTAGAATTTTAAATTAACTATTGTAGATTGTATTGATTCCCATGCTTTTTACTGTAAATTTATATATTTAAGACTGAAAAAATTGAGTGATTAAACAGTATATCGTTACTAGAGATATGTTTTCTCATTTTTATTTCTGAAAATATGGTTTAAGTTATATACCCCAGTGGAAGAGGCGGTAAGGAGTAACGAACATTTGAATAGATTCACACTCTAGTAGCCTCTGACATTTTCAGTATTCCTTCATGAACGGAAAAATTGTCATTTTTACAGGCACATGTAATTAACAACATGCGTCGATCGCTGTTAGAATAAATAAGACAAGATAAAAATTATAGTTTTTCTCATGACTCCATTGTTTCCACTAAAACTCATCCTCGGAGACCCAGGGGCAGATAGTGGGGGCGAGGGAAAGTCTAAACGGGAGAAAAAATATGGCACGAAGAAAAGTAAAGAACGGCGAGAAGAGGCCCTAGGGACAATGTCTTACCGGACCAGTTCCAAACGGTCGCCGCCGTTCTGGCTTGTGATTGGAGCCAGAAAAACACAAGTGTTCTGGCACCAATCACAAGCCAGAATGGCGGCGACCGTTTGGAACTGGTCTGGTAAGACATTGTCCCCAGGGGCTCTTCTGGCCGTTCTTTTTTTTTCTTTTGTGCCATATTTTTCCGCCCATTTAGACTAACCCTCGCCCCCACTATCTGCCCCTGGGTCTCCGAGCATGACTAAAACTAAAATGGAACAACAACAAAAAATGAAATAAAAAGAAACTTAGTTCACTTTTAAACGATAAATAAGATTGGGTATTTCTCTCTCCTTGCCCGTTACATACATTGCAAACATACCCGGTTTATTTAGACTGAAATTACCACGTAATCTTAAAATTATTTTGACTACATGAATATCTGAATTCGCCTAAAAAATTGTAAAAATTATGATGCTAAAAACATGGAAATTTCATTTTAAATACGTTTGGGTATTCTTATTTATCTCCTTGAGTTGCATACCGAGCAAACATAAAAATACCCATTTTTTTAAACCATGTAAATATGAAGGCCATTCATACGTTAATTCCCAGAAATTAACGCATGAATTTCTCTTAGCATAGAGAAACGTTTGGATAGTCATATTTAAAGTCTTTTAGTATTTTTACTTGCATGTGCGCGTAAATTGGCAACTTGTCCTTTGATGGTGGCACATTGGCAATGTCATAATGAGGGCAACTTAACATGTTAACGCATTTAATTGGTTCATCACTCCTTAAATTAGGACCTCAACACTTCGTGGAGAGAGATATTGACCACTATCATTTATTGAAAATATTTCCCGGAGGCCGTTTTCAACCTCGTTCCTCGGCCTCGGTGGACAACATCCTTCTCGATCTACATAATCAATCCTTCATATCATACTCAGCCTATTATGGAAAAAGAGTCTATACTTAGCGAAAAGACCATCCATATTTTCCTGTTGAAATTTTCTAAGCTCTCTTTCTCCAAGGCCTTAATTTTTCTAGCCCTCCTGTCGACGTGTAATTTGTGTGTCTGCTTGCTCAGCGGATAGAGCTTGCCCCCGAATTTTTCTTTGCCCCACGCCCGTTACATGACAAGCATTTCCCTTTACCACCTTCCATTTTTGTTAATTACCATCATTAACTTGTCTCAATAACCTTTTCAGGTCAAATTAATCGCAAGTACTGAAAATGCTACATTGAGATATTTAAATGGATAACTCCAGTCACGTTAGCAACGGGCCTTGCCCTCTCGCGGTTTCTGTTTTCTTCACAACAGTGTTGGCTGTAATCAGTTTGGCTGCGTTTATCGGCAACATCTCACTGATGACTGTGGTTTACAAGACCCCAAGCCTCAGAACAAGCACCAACATCTACTACGTCAACATAGCAGTATCAGATTTCCTTTCCAGTCTCACTTCATGGCCGCTGTACTTCACAGATGAGATTATAATAAGTCCAGGAATTCTGATTCAAGGTCTTCTGGCTACTGCCGGGTGCAAAATAGGAGTGTTCGCGAGGCTAGTCTCAACATCAGTCTCGATTCTCAGTTTGTTATTAATCGCTACCGACAGATACATTGCTATTATATTTCCCTTCAAAACATCATTGCTATTGTCACGAAAAGTTAGAATAACTACGTTGGTAGCAGTGTGGGGAGTATCGATGGGCTATTCCTTTCCTATGCTTTATTTCTCTCAAGTCGAAGACGTCGGCTAAGAGCGCTTCTGCAGATTTGCATGGAACGATACTGTTACTCTAATAATCTATTACGTTAGTGGAATTACTATGATTAATGTTGTACCTCGAATTGTGATTGTGATTTTGTATTCTCGCATTATGCAAACATTAAGCCAAAAAGTCTATTCAAGACCCCTTTTTGGAAGCATAAATTCAGAAGGGAAAAGAAACAAGGAAATGCAAAATATTATGAAAATATTCAAATCAATTGTAATAGCGTATACCGCTTGCTTTTTTCTTCTTTGCGTTTATTTGATTTTAAAAATGTTTTTTCATGAAATTGTAACCAAGGATAAATGTAAGTGGATTCTTGGCTTTTCATACTTTGTTTTTCCGTTGCTCAGTACAGCCATTAAACCCATCACTCGTTTCTAATTTAGTTCCAACTTCCGTCACGCCTTGCAAACCTTGTGGCCATTTCGACTGAAAAATTTCTGCTGTTCATTTTGTAAGAAAAGAAAGCAAGAAGATCCAGTAAGACAGGACGAAAAAGTGGAACTACAAATCCTGGTCAAAAACATAAATTAAATGTAATTCACTCACGAATTCATTAGCTCAGTCGGTAGAGCGCTTGTTGACTGCAGAGCGGGAGGTCGCGGGTTCGATTCCCGGGGCCGGACCAATACTTAGGGTCTTAAAATAACTAAGAAATGAAGGTACTTCCTTTGCCCTGCGGGCGGCTGGACCTTCGCGTGGCTCGGATGACCACGTAAAATGGCGGTCCCGTCTCCATTAGGAGACATTAAAATGAGGGCCACAAGTTTATTAGCCTTTGGCTATTAAGTGCTACCCTCTTTCAATAAAGGCTATTTTTTTTTATTTTTTATTTATTTTTTTATTATTTTATTTTATTTTTATTTTTTTTTTCACGAAATGCCTCAATTAGAGCTCCTAAAACGTTGTGTGTGTTTGATGCGTTCTTGATCAAATGGAATCGAGAAATACTGGCTTTTGAAAATCGTGAAAAGCCGGAGTTAACCGGTAGGAAAACCTCTTAGAACTACACCCACATATAGGGTGTCGTCACAGGGATATGACATTGACCCAGCTGGCAACATAGGTGGGGGACGTTGTAGAAATTGACGTTTGGCAATAGCAGTAAACGTGATTCTAAAGCTCTCCATTGACGTCATTTTATCGGATATCGCAAATGTCTTGGTCAATTGTAGCTGCTTGTTATGAAAGAATAGGCGTGGGGTTTGAGCCAGTATGAAAAAAAATATATTTTGAATGAATAGTGATGAAATTTATTGCTTATAAGTAGACTGCTTGCAGTTCACCTTTTCTCTTAAAATCCGTCTAGTTCTTGGTCTCATCCAGCGCGATTGCAAACCACGATGTTATTATATAGGGATCGAGACGAGACGAGAAAAGACGGTCTCTTATTTTTTCTTCTCGGGGTTACGCCCTCGTTTCTCGCGGCAAGCGGCTTCGCCGCTCGCGTGGTTAGGCTTTGCGTGTAGTAACTTTGCAAAGAAAAATAAGAGACTGCTCGCAGTCTATGCGTATAGCTGTTGCGAATACCCTGCCAGTAATAGGTAGCAATTGCCGATCTGTTTGGGTTTTCTCTTTTTGTAATCAAAAAATTCAAATTTCAAATGTCCGTTTTAATGTCAGAACTGTTTGTCTTAAACGGATAATAGTACCATTCATTCCGATATTTCCTGTTCGAAATAAGACGTCTTCGATTCAACTTGCTTGCTCGCGCCTTGTCTGGTTTTTAATGTGTCTTGTGTTTCGGTTTTTAGATGCATGTAAAGAGGCTTTTTAATTTAATATCTTATTACGTGCCATAAAAAGCATAACACAAAAGGTTAATTCTCACGACACCTGCGTTGCTCTGTCGCACAACCAATTGTGTAATAAAAGTGCACTATAAACAACATGATATTGTGGCTTTATTACCTACACCACTCGTATCAGAGATACCTTACAAAATTCCAGTGTTTTGCTACTGTAAGAATAAAAACTGGTCGATTGTCCATGACTGATTATTGTTCTCGTCCCACGATTTTTGTTTGTAATTTTTACTTAATAAGTGTGTCTTTGAGTGACACATTTGTTTCGTTCGGGAGACAATTTAACATTAAGAAATTACGAGCTCACACCGGATTAACAACAGGGTACGAATTGAGAAACTATAGGATGTGGATTAAATTAATTAACGCAGTGTTTTGCTTTTCAGACCTTAGTTATAAAAAAAACGGATTCGAAATTTCAAAAGGAAGAGTTAGACTTTATAATTTAAAATGACCTTTTATTTGCGCGTGAAAAATCCATTCCTTAAATTAAGAATAATTAATCTAATATTAGCCTAACTTGCTAAAAGTTGGCGCGACATCGTACATGTCTTATTGTGTGTGCCAGTTTTTATCTTTCAACTGAACATAATTCTGGTTTCTTTTAACAGCTGTAACTTGATACTTGTTAAAAAATAGATTTCGATTCGCAAATGTGAAACGTGACGAAGTTTTCTTTACTTGTCGATTACTGTTCAAACACATCAATATTAAGTGGTGTTTTGGCTAGTTTCATTCATAACAGTTATGTTGCACCGTGTTTCTATCTACTCTACACATTTCTTATTATTAGGCACAAGCTTGAATCTGACGTTTGCCGTTTACCGTACCTTGGTGGCTCTTAAAATCTAAGGTTTTTAAAAATCTATTTGCCATTACACAAGTTAACAACGATTGAAGTGTATCTTTCGAGTAACAATCAGAAATCGAAGAAGAAGGAAAAGTTACAGTTGACTAAAGCAACTAAAAGGAGCACAGTCTCAGGTGAGAAAAGATGGTAATTAATGTTGTTTAAAGGATGGATTGGTTTTCAGTTGCAAGTGAAGTCAAAACTGTTGGATCTTCGAAAGTTAATTAGCAGTAATTTGAAAGCGGTATTTCCTTGCAAAGGCTAAAATATTAATTTTCATCCAACAACAGCTGTAGTATAGTCAAAGGTTTCACCCATACTGAATCGTCCCACCTTAACGCTGGTTGTAAATTGTCGAGGGTCTCTGGCATGGATCGAGTTACCTTGAAGACACTTGGGCACTAAATTGATAAATACCAAAAAATAAATCTCAGATTTGAAGGTAATTCACTAAACAGAAAAAAATTATGATTTGTAATACGTGTACGAACATAAACGTTTATTTCGTTTCTTGACACTAAACACTAAAAAATGCCAAGCTGTGAGCCTCGGTTTTGCAGGGTGTGATAACGGATGGATTCGGTTTTAGAAGCATTATTTTAAGGGAATTAAAAGCATTTCCGAAATTGACCCTTGATAGGAAATCGGTCTTGATTCTTCACTGTAACAGTTCTCCTGTGCAGAAATCTTGAATGTTGTTAATTATCAGAAGGATATAAGACAACTCTTGACATTATTAATTATCAATCTTTTTATTCTTCTTTCCATGTGAATATATAGATGTATGTCAGGAGAGTGGGATCAAACTACTCGATCTTTTAATACGACTAATTCGCACAATAATCAGGGGCACCCAACGAGAATATAGTTCAAAACCACTTTAACATAGTATTGTTAAAAGTATTTTAGTATTTAAACGGTAGATATAGGCATATTTTTATCCCGTAAAAATTTTTTATCTGTTGGGATTTCCTAGCTGAAAGTCTAGTGATTCGAAAATTATAGGGATCTGAAAACTTACCTTTTCGAAGGTTTCAGCCAGAAAAAAGGCTCCCGAAAATTCTAGGTGACCTTTTTAGGGAAAAAAAATCCGTTAAAAATGGGCAATTATTCCAATTTTTAGATGTTCGAAAATCCTAGGAGAGGCAGGCAAGCAAGAAAATTTACAACAAATGTTCCGAAAATTCTAGATCTCAAATCGTCTTCGGAACAGAAATTTTTCGAACATTGACGTTGGGTGCCCCTGAATAATTGAAAAATTCTTAAATAGTTACAAAACTTTGGACAAAAGCTGAACAAGAAAAAAGGATTATTACCAACAGACCGACATTACGGCCTTTATGCTATCAAAAGGATCTTATCTACAGCGTATCGTATAAAAGGAAATCTGAACTCAGTTCGATATTGAAAACCAACACTTAAAGCAGGAAAACCGGTCGATAAGTGCGTTCTTTTAGGTGCGAAAAATCTCAAACTAAATTAGTGCATTAAGCAATCAAGAGTTTAGATTGGCTGTCAGCCAGCATGTAATGTTGTAGGTCAAAATGCAGTTCAGGTCTAAATGGTTGCAACGTTGTTTGATTCTTAGTTTCATGGTTTCTTAACCCGAATTATCTATGATCGTTGAATAATTAGTGTTATGATACAAAGAATATTGAGAATCAAAGAAAGAAATCATTTTGACTGACCTACAAAGTATGTACTATGACAACATATATACTGTAAGTAAGTCAGTGTACGCAGCTGAACAGAAAGCTTGGTATGTAATAAATTCCCAGCAGTAATAATGATGATGATGATAATAATAATAATAATAATAATAATAATAATAATAATAATAATAATAATACAACTCACTTTGACTCTGAAGATGACTACCGCACAGGTTGTCGAAACGTCAGTCACTTTCAACAACAACAGTACTAGCCCTATTCAGGACACGTTCACCCGGACGATCAAACTCAACCTATACTTTTGAAATGACTCCTGGGTTCAAGCCTTTCACAATAATAATAATAATAAAATAGCTAACTAGCTACCATTATGCCCCTCCTGTTCTTGCTTTCACATTAAATGGAGTACTGATAAATGTTTTCCTACGTAATATTAATTGACAGGCCAATTTCAAAGAGGGTTTGAAAGTTACCAATTGCGTCGAATAATCGCAATGAACAACTCCAGCTCTAACTTGGTCAATTACACGCCATGCCCATACGACATATCTGCAGTCTTTACATCAGTGTTGGCTGTCCTTAGTTTGGCTGCGATTATTGGCAACATCTTAGTTGTGTCTGCCGTGTACAAGACCCCAAACCTTAGAACAAGCACCAACTATTACTACGTCAACATGGCGGTCTCCGATTTCCTTTCTAGTCTTACATTATGGCCGCTGTACCTCACTGACGAGATAATAACACAGCGAGGAAGTCTCATCCATGGTTTCGTAGCCACAATTGGCTGCAAAGTGGGGGTGTTTACGAGAAATGTTTCGCATTCAGTCTCTATTCTAAGCCTGTTTTTGATAGCTGTCGACAGGTTCATCGCTACTGTCCACCCTTTAAAAGTTACCTTGTTAACAAAGAATATTCGAGCATCCTTACTACTTTCAACATGGATCATAGCCATAGGGAGCTGTTTTATCACATTTCTTCATTCAAGAGTCGACAGAGTTGGACACGAAACATTCTGCAGATTGGCTCTAGCCACAGACAGGATGATAATACTATACACGTTTGTAATAATTCTACTCATTGCTTTGTATTCCTCAACTTTAATTCTGTATCTGCGCATCACGCGTGTTTTACAAAGTAGACTTCAGACGAAACACTGTGCACAAAACTTAGACGTAATTAGTGCTAGACAGAATAGAGTCAAGCACAATCGAAACGTAATGAAGATATTTAGGTCGATTGTTATAGCATTTTTCATCTGCTGGTTTTTTTTCTGTTGCTACCTAATACTAAAAATCGTTTTTCCGCAGCTGTTTGTAAGTGACAAGTGCAAGATAATCTTAGGCTTTTCTTTCTATGTATTCCCACTGTTAAGCACAGTCGTGAACCCAGTGATTCTATTTTCATTCAGTTCTAGTTATCGTCATGCTTTAAAAGAAATTTTTTCTCACGGGAAATGTAAGTCATGCTTGAGAGGGGTACCCGTTGCCGCACTCCAAACTAACGAGCGCCAACAGGAGCCAATTATATTTGAAATGCTCGAACTACACGGGCTTGATAAAAAATTTCGGAAAAGCTCCTCTTAGTCTGTGTAGTTCCAGTTTTTGTTTGGCGTGTGGGCAAAAATGAGCGGTGAAAAGCCGTTGCCGAAGCCAAAGCCGAAGCAGAAGCAGAAGCCGGAGCTGAAGCCATTGCGCTGGACTATCAGTGAGAATCAGTGTTTTGGGAGGTCGTGGTTCTTTTTCTTTTAAAGTCATTTCATAAACATTGAAGAAATATAGATATCAAAAGCTGTTAAAAATGTCTGCAAAAATGATTCTACAAGCATTTTGTTATCCATATGTGAAAGTAGGAAAGATTTACATTCTTAGAAAAAGTCTGTAAATTTACGATTTATAGACATTTGACGATCACTGTAAATGGTCCAGATTTTCCAATGCGATGTTTTGAGACACATGGTACCGAAACAGATTATTCCAATTTATCCGGTTTCAAAGAACATTTCAAGAAAAAGAATCCCACTACGTTTCCAGGACTAATATAACGTATTTCTGGGCAAACTATGAAAAAGTTTGATTTTTTATCGAGTGCCACCCTTCGCTATTATTAAACATTCACTCTTAAAATTTGACGAAACATAGCTAGCATTGTTGTAAAGGTCTCGTTCGCCCCTAATAAACAATGAATATGTCAGATAATAACGTCTTAAATAGGATAATTTCATAGCTTTATATAATGGATCCTCGCCCCGCTACAATGTTAGTCAGTTTGGAAAACGCATTCAAGCAAGTTTAGTGAGGTGCACTTCTCGGAGAAACGTTCTTATAAAAATTCTATTAATTTCTTTAAACAGAGACTTACATGGTGTAAATCACATTCTCCTGCAGTAAATTGTCAACCTGATTGAAATGCCAGAACAAGAGCAACTTAACATGTTGGCCTATTCAAATGGACAGTCCCGTCTAATTGCCTCTTCCATAAAAAAAATCAACCAATCCAAAGGAAGCAAGAATTACAAATTATTTACCAAAGTCAGTGATATTTGTCAAAGGATGAATTTGTCCATTATTGCACTATTTCTCTTTTGCTTGCTTTTGGTTTTGTTATGTTGTAGTTAAATAACGATCATTTCACTTTACTTTTTTGTTTTTAATGGTTTTATGACTCTAATGAAAAAAAACAACTGAACCCCAGATGCCCCTATTAGCTACAACCGTTACAGCTACACAACGAAGAGAAATCGCAAAAACATCGTCACAAAATTGAACGACATCTCATCAAGAATAGTATTAAAAATCGCATATGAATATATCTAAGGACCGGGTTGTCTTGCTTCACCAAACTGTTAGTCACTAGTATTAGGTGAGTTTACTGACTGTGACGTTCCTAAAAAGTTCTTAAAGCTAAATTAAAGAAAACTGGCCCTCAGGAGATTTATAAAATAAAGAACTCTGTTTTTTATTTTCTTTCCCAAAACGAGCATTCAAAATGTTTACTTGCTTAAGAATCTTCTTCAAATTTAGGGTACATGAAAAAGTTAGTAAGAATAAGATATCTTTACTGGTTCCAGTAAACCAGTTGAACTATTCAAATGTCAGTGACACTTATCTACTTTGCCTAATGACAAAACATGGCTTTTGTGACTGTAGAAAAAAACACGGGTATTTTCAAATCAAAACTCAGGCTATATCAGAGAAAGAGTTCATGCACCAGAGGCTTTGAATTTTAAATGCTCTTAAAATATCAACCTTAAATCAAACATCTCTTTATTTGCGGAAAACCTGAAAATTCTTTCGACAAGCGCGCGAAAGGTCATCACCTGTACAACCAGTTTCCTGGGCAGCTTTCCTTTCAGCTTAAAAACATAATCCTATAATTTCATAACAGATTCTCACACAGAGGAGCTACTCTGGTACTCAGGAAACATTTACAGCTCGCTAGTTTGGTTGAAAACTAGACTAAATTTCACCGCAAGTATCTTCAAACGCCGATTAAGTCTAACTATTCTAGGCCAACATAAGGAGAGATCCGGACGGATTAGCCTGAAATAGATCTGCACCCGTTACCTCAGTTTGAAAAACACAACCAAGTTACAGGAGTGGAAACTTTCTTCTATAAACTTTAAGTGGTTAAAGCTAGGAATTAGTATTGTGCGGTTAAAATCAAGAACAATCCCTTCTTCTTTAATTTTTAGGATGATTATCAGTAGCTGGGCAGAATGCCCTATGGAATTAATGAAATGAAAAAATAGATTTCAGTATGGAAGTGAAAAAGGTACATCTTTACTGGTACCAGTGGTAAGAAAAGAAAAGAAAAGAGAAAAAGGAACAAGAAATAACTGAATATGGAAATGAGGGTAAGTTTGCTTGTTTAACTATTCATTAAATGTCAGTTACGCTTATCTACCTCGTCTAATGAGAAGACAAAACAAGGCTATTGTCTTGTATTTTTGAGAGGAACACTCCGGCCATATCAAAGAAAGAGTGAGGTTGGATTTAAACGCTTTTTCGTGGTTGGAAATGTCATCTGCATCCAGAATTAGAAAGACAGTATATCTTAGCTATTCTTGGGAGGCAATGATGAAACCCAGCACTAGGTCAATATATATATTTCAGAAATAACTCAATGTTGCGACACTTTAAATCCAATACATATCTTTTCATCTCAGGAAAAATTTTCTAATTTTTAAATGAGCAAGCAAGCATATTTCAATAACGTTAGAAAAAGGGCATACATGTACAACAAGTTTCTTTTAGGTAGCTTTCTTTTTAGCTAATCTAATTCCGAATTCCATTTCCCGTTTAAGTTAGCAGGAAACCGTTCTTATATTGCATTTCCAGAGGTGGCTGCTCTCAGGTATTTACAATAAATTTATAGTTCACCAGTTTCGTTGGACGTGACTTCTGAAATACCAGAGGAAGAAGAACACTCTCGGTTCCTACTATAACAAAATACTTGCCTTCGCCATAGCGGCTATAGGATTAACTTAAAATAGAATCTGCGCTCCGCTACCTCGATGATCAGTTCGAAAACGAAACCAAGTTACCGAAGTGGAATTGTCCAAAAATGCAGGATTATTAACTTGCAGTTAAAATCCAGGACAGTCCCTTCTTCTCATAAATTGGATCATTATCAGCGTATGGGCAGACTGCCTTAGTTAGGAATTACCTAAATTAGATCTCTGTGTAGCTGAGGGCACGATCCTTTCGATTAAAATTAAAATTAAAGATACAAGAATAATATAATAACACGAATAATAACACATATTATTGAATAATGTAAAGTAGTATTTAAGCGGACGCAGCACCCCTATACGCGAATCTTTGCTGACGTCATTTCTTACATTTTTTCTCATTAGCGTATTACTTAACTCATGGAAGCCGTGGTCGTATATGTGAACTAAATTCAAAAGTTGGAAGAGCTGATGAACTTGAGCAATTTATGCAATTTTCACCTCTTTAAAGTAATATTAAGAGAAATATCAGCCATCGAAAACTGCCAAATTGCTGGGTGGCAAAAACTTTCATGAGCCATACATTCTCTGTAAAATTTCAAGTCTTTAAAGGAGCCTTTCCCCGAAACCATTTGGTATGTTGAGCTCAAATTTTCAGAGATAACTGAAATCGTTGTGGTTTTTCAATATTCAGGAGTTTTGTTTTATTAGCTTCATCAGATATGATGAACATGTTAATAAGGCAAAAAATGTAAACAAAGATTCGCCTATGGAGACTGAATCCCAAGTTGAATGGGCCATCCTGTTGAAATTAACTTTAACTTTACTTTAACAACAACAACAACAACAACAACAGCAACAAATCCGATAAAAAAAACGTACCTTATTGTCGAAACAATAAATAAAACTGGGTATTTCTACCTCCTTGTCTTGCCTTGAGTTAGATACATTGCAGACATACCCGGTTTTATTTAGATTTAAATTTCCATGTATTTTAACTTAAAATTATTCTGGCCGAATCCTTTTTGAAAACTAACGAGGGAATTTTCCTTAACGTCTGGTAATCGATTATATATTGTTATTTTTTTAAAAAATCTTTTACTACTAGTATTCGAGTAGCGTTTTACTATTGTGAATTGTATTGATTGCCGCGCTTTTTATTGTAAATTTATATATTCAAGATTGACAAAATTAAGTCATTAAACAGTATATCGTTACTAAAGATGTTTTCTCATTTTTATTTCTGAAAATATGGTTTAAGTTATATACTCCAGTGGAAGAGGCGGTAAGGAGTAACTAACATTTTAATAGGTTCACATTCTAGTAGCCTCTGACATTTCCAGTATTCCTTCATCAACGGAAAAGTTGTCATTTTTACAGGCACATATAATAATTAACAACATGAGTTGATCGCTGTTATAAAAAATAAGACGCGATAAAAAAAATGTGAAAATTACAGTTTTCCTCATGACTCGATTGTTTCCACTAAAACTAAAAATAGAGCAACAACAAAAAATGAAATAAAAAGAAACTTAGTTCACTTTTAAACGATAAATAAGGTTGGGTATTTCTATCTCCTTGAGTTACATACATTGCAAATTACCCGGTTTTATTTAGACTGAAATTACCACGTAATCTTAAAATTATTTTGACTAAATGAATATCTGAATTCGCCTAAACATTTGTAAAATTATAATTCTAAAAACATGAAAATTTCATTTTAAATACATTTGGGTATTCTTATTTATCTCCTTGAGTTGCATACCGAGCAAACATAAAAATACCCAGTTTTTTTTTTAAACCATGTAAATTTGTAGGCCATTTTTTTCAAGAAATTCCTAGAAATTAACGCATGAATTTCTCTTAGCATAGAGAATCGTTTGGATAGTCATATTCAAAGTCTTTTAGTATTTTTACTACTTGCATGTGCCTGTTAATTGGCAACTTGTCCATTGATGGTGGCACATTGGTAATGTCATAATAAGGGCAACTTAACATGTTGACATATTTAATTGGTTCATCACTCCTAGAATCTGCCTTTTCTACTGTAAAGAGCCAATCAGCATGAGGCACAATTTCCAAACTATCAGAGTGTAGTCATTGGACTAGGATGACTACTCCATTTCGGTTAACGACAACACAAAGGGATCAGATCTCGAAGGTTTGGAGCAGTGCTAATAAGGTTGGTATAAGACATTTCGTTGGATGAATGTGTCTTATTATATAATATCACTAAGTTCCCTTAAAGAAAAGGAACTTACTATAGGTGTTTTGGTTTTGGGTTACAAGCAAAACCAGAGATCAGTTTTGCTATTTTTCTTTTTCTGCTCTTCAGCGCCACACATTTAGTTCCTAGGTCCGTGGTCAAAGGAAAGAAACGATGCCCTTGTAGTGAAGGGTACTAAAACTATCAGATAGTGTGGTTTGAAAATGTAAAGACTGATTTAAACGTAACGAACATGGTTCGTCCGGGTCCGGTACCTAAACATAAGCTTACGGCGAACACAAAAACGCTAGTCCGAGTTTTCATTTACGTCTTTCCTTTAAGCAGAAAGATCGACGTTTGCAAACTGTAAACTGGCCGCCACCGAAGAGTATATTATTGTGAAATTAAAAGCGGCCCTTGTAACATAACATTAGGTCTAACAAGGGGCTGACCAACAACTTCGCAAAGGGATGTGCTACAGTTAGACTTTCTAACAGTCCTCGATTTTTTTTCCTGGTTGGTTATGCCATTTTGAGGGACTTTTCATATCTGTTTGGCGCGAAATTCAGCGGTCTAAAATTCTACCGGTGACGTCATGACAATTGACCAATGGACAGCATATGTCCGATCCTGACACAGCATGTGTTAATCATTTTTTTTCCCATTCAGGTGAAACGACCTCAGCGTCACTCGCTTGGTCGCAGTGCGACCTTATGCATTGAAGCTCGCTTCGCTTACCTTTTAGAACTTATGAGACGTCGACTTGTAGCAAGTCTATGCTACTGTGGCGCCCAACGACGGATACTTCCTTTGAAAACACTTTGTAGGTTATCCAGAGTACTTTAAGATCCCCAGAAATGCATTCTAAGCAAAGCTATGGAATTTGAACCTGTTCGGTCATCCTACTGAGGGGAACTTGACACTTTTTGAAATTACACTAAAAGCAGTTTTATTAGCTTTATTTTCCCGAAAATTTTAGATACATCTTAACGTAAACTACAGCTGTACGAAAATGAATTTTTTCTGAATTTTTCTCCATCACAGTTTTGAATCCGAAAATTTTAGGTTTCCTTTTTTTGTACGAAAAATAGCCTAAAATAGCAGTAAAATGTGAAAAATCAAACTTCTATTAGAAAATCGTAGGGAATTGATAAGATTAAGACTCGAAACAGATGTACATGAACAGAACGGACGTCTGTAAATTTTTAGCTGTCTTCAAGTAACAGAAAATTCTAGGTAATCTCTCCGAATAGATGTTTTACAGAAAACAGTCGTTGCGTGTCCCTCGTGCTAGGGTTTTGGTGATGTCAGGGAAAGAATTCTTTCTCCAAGCTCTGACTCGTCCCCAGTCGTCTCTAAGTTGTCTCTACTCATTAATTATTTACTAGGGAAGCGCTTGGGTTATGCGCTCGGGGAAGATGGGAAGGCAAGAGGAGGGGAGACTACGTCTCTCCCTTCTCACTTCTTCCTTCCCGTCATCCCCTTCGTTAAAGAGCCCGTTCTAGTATTCCACGCCAAATACTAATAATGAGAGAGACTGGGGACGAGTCAGACCCACTCCTATATATGTCACTCACAACTCAGTGATCCAATGCAAAACTGAGCCAGAAAACGGAATCCTAAATATTTGACACACGCCCTCCCCGGACCAGAAATTCGCTTTTAACACTTTCATTCTTGTGTTGCAGTTATTGGTCAGTAAAAAAACTCACTTTGTCAATAAAGTGATCCCGACGCAATGAATCGGATTACATTCATTTTGCTGTCGTTACTTCTGGCTTGGCGCATCGAATGTCAAGGTATGTTGTTACAACCATTGTGAAGTGGTGAAGGTTTAGTCGGTTTTAACCCTTCCGCTGACTTATACGTTTTAATTAATGTTCCAGGAGAAAACACAACAACGGCAAACCGTTTGGCAGTCGCAGAGGAAAATTTAGATCACAACGAGGGCGTTGAAGAGGTAGTGTAGTGTTTTCACTAGCGCGTCCTTTGGCGATGTATGCTCAGTTAGAGAGCCAATTAACAACGAGATTATTAAGCTTTTTTATCGTTTTAAACAAAATCTACGAGTCCTCAGCTTCTACGTTCACAGGAAACTTTCTCGGCTTAGAAGGAGTGGAAATGATCAGCAGTATAAAGTTTACTGGCTCAGTTACGCCGCAATCAGGATTATTTGCTTGACTACAGGTCGAGCGCGGTTCTGTAGCAAATCCCTTCAAGGTTCTTCAAGTTGGCGGCAAATCTTTTAAAAGCTTCGAAGAATGACATTTCTTAGGATTGAAATTTCTTACGATTGCGTTGTCATGGAGGGATATCGAACGAGTACTAAAAGGTCCCATGCAATCGGTAGCCGGTTTAGAATACTGCTTGTTTGAGTTAAAAGACAGCATGCTTAGTTTTAAGTATGGAAACAAGCTACAAGCTTTCCGCGGTGTAGGCAAAATGACACTGATCTGTCATGGTTAAATTAACACTCTGCTTAGCCATTACTGCAAGACTGGTTTCCGAACCAACTGAATGTTGGATCTTTCGTCAGTTGCTTCGGTAACTAAAAGCTGTTAACAAGAGCTCACCAAGAGAGCTAGATAAGTACTACGAGTGCCGTAATTTAGGACCAGTTGGAAAACCCCGGACTGGACTCGAATCGAATCTGGACTGGTCTGGACTTTTTTTTTAAGGGGGGTAATTTTTATTATTTTTTCTAGTCTGTAAAAAAATCGCGTTTTCAACCTTTCCCCAACAGGCCATATTTTTTCATTTGGGAGAGGCGGGGGAGGGGGGAGGGAAGGACTTTACTTTTCTTTTAGCCTGTGTTTTAGTCTTAGATTAGTCGCTCTGTTTGACTCACGGCCAGTCACCCAGACTAAAAAGGTCGAAAACGCGATTTTTTTTACAGACTAGAAAAAATAATACACCCCCCCCCCCAAAAAAAATTACCCCCCTAAAAAAAAAAGTCCAGTCCAGTCCAGTCCAGATTTTAGTCCAGTCCAGTCCAATCCAGAGTCCAGTCCTGGACTCATGTGAAAACGAACATCGCACGTTTAGTATATTCATGAAAAAAAAGAAGCGGATTTTGCTCTCATGGGTAGCTAATCAAATTGCGGTAGAGATCGCTTGACACCTACAAGTAACTTGCGGCTGTATAATGATTTAATAATAATTAATTAATTAACAATAATTAACTCGCTCGGCTCACAGGCAAAACCTGGGACAAAGCCAGAGGCAATAACAGACTCTGAGGGTGATAATTACAATGAGGTAAACAGAAGCAACGCATCAAGGATTATATTGGCGACAAAAATTAGAACCGATGGCACACCAGGTTGGATAGAGAAAGTTTTAAGAAAGGTATTTAAATTCTTGCCATAAGTAGAAGCTCTACGTTAGAACAGCACCCCGATAGGTCGCATTTTGCGGAGCCAACAAATAATGGAGCTGCCGTGACTCAAAACACTCACAACTCAATTTTTCAGAATTGTTTATAAGTAATTATCTAGAATTTAAGCACCTTGTAGAAGAATAAAATTCTAGCAATTCTAGAGATCAAAAGACGTTGTCTTTGACATAATTCACTAATGCTTTTCCTTCCCTTCAGGTGGAAACTGTTTTTAAAGAAAAGGGATATGATTTAATGAACCGTTCGAGAGAACACACGCCGGGAAGCCCGACAGACATACAGTTGGACGAGGAGAGTATGGTTTTTTAACATGCTTTAAGGGCTTGATGTCAGGCTCTATATCATACAGAATTCCAGTTTTTTTTAATGAATGTTTACCTCACACTTGCCAAAATCAATGCCACTTACTGCTAACTGGATACACGTTCGGTGAAATATATATGTCGATACTGTCTCCGAACAAATTAATTAGTCTCTCCACCCTGACTGGACCGTGAGCTGAGTTAGTAAATTTTTTCCCCGGCAGCAAATGATGATTCAATTGGCCAAGGAATAACCTACTGCTCATATTTCCAGGGTGTCGGCAAGGCAATAGTTGACTGTAGTATCGAAACGCTTGTCAATTGTTCCGTCGTTCTGTTCGTCTTTTTTCCCCACCGTTTTGTCTCATTTCGTTGTTCTTCGCGTTGACTTCTGTTTCCTAATCTTTGCTCCTTATCCCGTCTCTCAAATAACCAACATCTTTACAGTTCCTTTATCCTAACGATTATGACCACTAGAGCTATTTTCTCTTTCTGCCCTTCAGTGACAAGTGGCCTTTTCAACAAATTAAATGACATCTTTTTGACACTGGGACCAAAAGCCACAGGCGCTTGGAAAGGTCTGGCTGAGTTAAAGGAAAAATGGAATACGCTTTCGTTCGGAGACAGAGCGGTTATGACGCAGACCCTTCAATCCGCTGCCTCAAACATTGACAAGTTTGCTAAAGCAGGAGATGATCCCATTGGTGCAATACAGGGAGCGCTCAATATGGTCGGACAATTTGAAACACTTGCCGGTCCCACCGGCCAAAATGTTGCCGTAGGTCCACGCTTCGTCTCTGGGTTACTGAGTCTTTTTGGAGTAGGAGGAAAGAAAAAGAAGTCTATCGGACAAATCGCACAAGAAGAAATAGACCAGGCGTTGGCTCAATTTCCCGAGCCGAATCTCTTTATTAAGACTAGTGAACATGGTGGACTTGGTAAACAGTTCGACGTTCTTAAGGCATATGTGGATAGGGTTGCTCAGTCAGGAGATAATCTTACCGTTACCCAAGCAGAGTCTTTTGAGAGGAAAGCGCCACTGTATATTGGCGTTGCATTGATGGGAGCATTGACAAGTGAGATAGAACGTCTTCTTAAGGCCAACAATGAAGACGAGGCCAAGAAGACATTGAGATACATCGAGCTGTATGCAAGAATGGCAGTTCTAGAGGCCGTGATTTTGCAGGAGTTGACTTTTTTGTTGCCAAACCAGCTTGAACAAGAGCTTGTCCAAGTCATCTCTAGGGAGCAAAGTCAGCAGAAGAAGCTCCTTAAATTTCTTCGTGCTGGTCGTGTCGATAAGATAGCTTTGAGTTACTTCGATCCCGACGTGTACCCAATTACAGATGCCTATATGACCGCTGTGTTGAAAGTACCAGATTACGATCGCTCCTTGGAAGGAAAGTGGTGTCTAACGCCAGTAATTGGTCGTGCGCCTAAGGTAGCAATCACATGGAAAGCAGTCTATCCCAAGTTAATGGAGCACGGCCACCCCTACATCACTCTGGCTGAATCTAACGAACAAGCCTGCTTTTGGAAACTCATCCCCCATGGTAACTCCCTCTATACAGTTGTCAACACCTACGGCGGTCCCAAGCACGAGTTCTATGGTCAGTACCTGTCGTTTGACATATTACATGGCTATGACAGCAGGATGGCCGTCAAGAGCAAAGCAGTTCTTTGGGAAATCGTCGGCGACAGGCAAAAAAGGTATGCTGAGGTAGAATTGAAGTCCCTGGACTCTTTTATAAATTATATGCCATGAGAACAGCAACGCTGAATCATTGTGTCTCTTCTTTGATTCATTTCCAGTCAGAGCTTAAACCAAGTTAATCTTAGGTCAGCAGTTCAACATTTAAATCTAAATTTAAATTCTCATGTAGATAACACTTGTTCCAATGCTTTTCATTACTTGTATAATATAAGAAGAATTAGGAAATATCTTTGTAGGCCGTCCACTGAGACGCTCATTCACGCACTTTGTCTCAAGTTGTGTCGACTATTGTAACAACCTGCCCTATGGCCTGCCAGCCTACCAGCTTAATAAGCACAGGGTCCAAATGCTGCCGCTAGGTTAATTTTCCAGGAATCTAAATACTGCCATGTAAGACCGTTGCTGTATAATCTGCACTGGCTGCCGGTTAAATTCCGAACTGACTTTAAGATATTATTGTTAACGTATAAGGCTATCAATGGCTTAGCGCCTTTTTATCTCCAGAAACTTTGACAACGTTAGGAGATCGATCTTTTGCTGCTGCTGCTCCACAACTATGGAATTCATTGCCCTACGCGATTATGGGTAGCCCATCAGTAGCATCTTTTAAAAATACACTCAAGATATTTTCAGAAAGCTTTTTTGTGATTTTATGTGCTTTTTTATCTCGTTTTTAGTTTTTATGCAGTTTTTTTACGATTTAAGTAGTTTAGGTAATTTTTATAGTTTTAGTGTTGACATAATTGTTTTAACTCTTGTTGGTAGGTTCATGCACTTAATGCATGTATACTTTATGCAGTCCTAGTAATTTTTTTTGAAATATTTTTATTTTTTAGCGCTGATGAAAATGGCAATATTGATATCGGCGCTATATAAGTATTATTATTATTATTATTATTATTATTATTATTATTAAATTGACTGGGGTTCTGAAGCGTCAATTTCAAAGCGAAAATAGCAAAAAATGCGTAATTCATTCCCTCCTCATTAAAAAAGGTAAACCCCCAGCATACAACCATCGAGTTATGGGTGCAATAGGGAGGTTGTCAAGCACGAACGAAGATGTGTTAAAATTGCTCGAGAGTACGTGTACGTAGCCGACAGCAACTCAAGCCTCTCAGTTGGGTCCGTACCTAACCTCCTAAGTGAATCCACAACTCGATGATTCTCGGCGTATCTAATCGAACGGTTCGGTAATCGAACATAATCGAACTCACAATAAAATTTGGCCAATCGGACAAAACCAAACGTTTGATTACCAAACTCTTGTTTGTTTGATTTTTATGTTTAAATATTAACACTGATAAAAAGCCTTCCCCAGAAGTTTTTCAAGTTTGGAGGCTCCGAAACGCTATTTTCAGCATTTGTCATGAGATATGTCCACGAAAAATCGACCTCGAATATGAAAATGGCAAACAATTTGAAGTCACTATAATCAAAATAGAAAATAACTGAGTCTAAAGAAAACAAATCCATCCAAAAAGTTAATGTGCCTGGCTCAACAGGTCGGGGAGGCGGAGGGGGCAGCTGCCCCCCTTGCCCCTTCCACTAGCTACGGCTCTGGGCGACAGCGTTTTGGTTGAACATAATTACTCCAGTGTGATTTACTTATCAAGAAATGGATTTCGAACAAATCGAATCGGATTGAGTTCGATTGTGTTCGATTTCGTTCGATTGGTTCCTCGATAATCGAACTTACAGCAAAATAGATGTTCGATTATGTTCGATTACCGAACCCAATCGAACGATTGGTGTTCGATTGGGTTCGATTGAATTTTGCTTCGATTCTGTTCGATCAGATACGCCGAGATGATGACACAGCTGCGGCGTTTACCATATTTTTTATAAATTGACATAATCAAGGAAGAAAAACATTTTGGAGTACTTATGTGTGACAGAGGAACGGACGAATGCCATGTGCGACGAGCGATATTGAATAAAAAAAATTCTTATGCAAATAAAGATTTACTTGTATATGTTGCAGTTCATTTTTGATTTTCCCTCCCTTATTACAACTTCATTAATAGCATACATTACCATCAGGCCAAAAACACTAACAAAAGCGAAAATTACCTAAGATAAAAAATTAACCGCACTGTACACTTAAATCGTCATTTGATAAGAATTTGTTTGTGCATTTGGTCTCAATAAGTGACTTAAAGGGGGACAAAGCAATATTTGCGTATTACGAGATACCAGAGTTGGCAATAACGCAACTGGGTGACAGTTGTATACAGCTATTCCAAAAAACGTTGTCTGAAGAAACTGAGCAAAAGTTTAAGCCAAGACCGAAAGGTAATATGGGATTTTTAGCGTGACCTGCTACAGTTCCTATAGGAGTTTTGCGGCCATTCAAGTATATCCCTGAGAACAGTATGGAACGTCTTTCTGTAAGTGAGAGTATTTCTAAACGTTGGGCAACTCTTAAAACAGAGGTGGTTAGCGAGCCTTCAAACAGTGGGGAGCTTAAGCAAATAAAATGGCGACAAAATTAAGAGACCGTGAACAACAACTAAATTTGCACGTGCAGCACGCTTTTTTGTCCGTGGCCGTTGTTGCCCGACTACGGCTTGAAATGTCTCATGTTTTATAGGGGAAGTGAACAGCAGATCATAATTTTCTTTTCTTTTCTTAACTAGAAAACTAGTCCTATAGAATTCATTTCCAGAGGAATCGCCATCATTTAAAAAATTGAACGAGGTGGAATAAAGGCGATGTGGTTGTCCATGCATTCTCACATGCTGGTGTAGTGCAAAATATTACCTGCAGTAGACTTTGGCTAGCTTTAATTAATGCTTGAGTAGGAACTATTATTCGGAAAAAGGTTTGTTTATAACATTTTTTTCGCCCACTTCATTACTACGTTATGCAAATTGATAAAATGTAGAATTTAATGTCATTTTTCCTTGCTAATTAGCTGAACAAAATTGCTTTCAAAGATGGGAATAAGCAAGACTGCACTTCGACTGAAACGTAATTTTACCTTATGCTTTTTTAACAACTAAAATAATAAGTATGGTTCAGTATAAATGACGAATAAAAATCAGTGACCAGTTTAGTGGAGTGATTGTTTACCAGCAAAAGACGGATTTGAAACAACCCACATTACCTTGCGGTCTTGGCTTGAAGACTTTTTGCTTTTCTCCCGACAACGTTTTTTGAAATAGCTGTATCAGTGTCTGTAACGGGCCTATAACCCATAGCGAGCAACTTCCATGCGCTCGTGTCACGGCGTTTTAATGGGCTGCTCAGTCAATTTTTAGCACGGTTTTGGGCACGCGAATTTTGAATATCTTTAATTTAAATTCTAAAAAGTAGTTAACTGAAACCTACTGAGACCTAAAAAACAATATTTTTTGCCTTTTAATAACGTTTAGTTTTTCTTTTTGATATCTTATGCTTCGAATTCGCTCATACTGTATGATATGATAGAGAATCTATTTTCGTGAGAAAATGTGCATGCCTTAAAATGTTTCCAAAAATAGACTGGTCCGTAAAAACGCCGTGACATAGGTTTAGTACTGGGAGTTGCTCGCTCCGGGTTATGGGCTCTTATGTCTATTTAAAGCCCTTTACTGTTGGACTTTTTTCTAAAGAATCAGATAATGTCTTTAATAGGATCACCAGTGAATGGCAATGTCCCTGGAACGAAAGGTGGTGTTACACCCAGCCATTAATTCAGTACGAGTTCCCAGGGAGAGAGAACAAGGGGTACGACGTAATCACATTTGGTCTTTCTAAAATAAACGTTGGCTATATTTGGTGGATCACTAAGGTACGTGTAAACACGGTCTGAGTCTTAACAAAATAATTAAATAAATAAATAACCAAACCTGCTTCAGCCCGGTGCAGTTAGGATAAGAACACGAGGTGGAATATAGAGCTTTTTCAACTGACGTCACGTCGGCCTTCAGAGCGGGAGGTCGCGGGTTCTATTCCCGTGGCCGGACCAATACTCAGGGTCTTAAAATAACTGAGAAATGAAGGTACTCCCTTTGCACTGCAAGCCAATAGACTTTCGCGTGGCACGGATGACCACGTTAAATGGCGGTCCCATCTCCAGCTGGAGACGTAAAAATAGAGTCCCCAGTCAGTACTTTCCTGCTAAATACATTGACACTCAAATAAAGTGCATTGTTTAAAGAATGAACTGACTTTCAATTTCGACGAATTTACCATACCCATAAGTCAAAGAAAGCTTGGATAATGTGACATTATTATAATTTTACTGATTATTTATTCCTAGTACCCCTTCTCGAACTAGAGTGTGTTCAGTGGAGACATGTCAACCCAAAGGAAAACCTGGATCATCTAGACCGAAAATGATCAGCAACCCAAAGAAGTTATCGTAGTATGTACTAATGAGAATAGAAATAAAAGATATTAAAACGCTCAAATTATGAAGTATTGTTAGCTCACAGAATAGTCCCTTGTTTGTACCAAACAGGCCGAGTCTAAATTGCTGAAATTGCCACAAACAGTATATATATACAACGTGTATTTTGTTTAGCAGGCTTGCAAAAACAAAGTTTACAGTTCTTTGCAAGGTCAGCTTTTCAAACCTTTTCGTTTTGTACTGAGACAGTATATTCAAGCCCTCACCGTCACCTCTCTCCCTAAGTATATTGCACCCGACCACTGGGAAGAGGTACGTGGTAGGGGGGTCTCTAATCAAAAAACCTTTGGGACTCCCATACGTGCCTTGTTTAACCCTCGGACGTACAAGGGCGGTGGGTGGATGCCCCCCCCGTAAGGTTTTTCTGAGTTTTTACCGAGAGGATAAAAACCACTCAGCACCTGACGTTTTCAGTAGCTGTTCGTTCATCTCTCGCGCACAGTGATGTTCCGTTGCTATGGTTACGAAATATGACGTCATAAGGTGGTGAAGCCATTTTTTGCTGAAAGTCCATGTTTTTTCAACTTTTTTCAACAGTGAAAGTAAATCTTGTGGCTAAAATCATGCAGAGTGTTTATTTACGTGTAATTTTTCATCAAGAGCCATAATGAGAGGCTCTTGTTTTCATGTAATGCACAAAAAAATTATCATTTCTCGCGGTTTTAACCTGATTTCTAATTCTTGGTAAAATCCAAGATGGCGGCCGAGATGGTGATCATTGTTGGTGGCGTCACTAGGCTTTGGTAGATTGTGCTCGAAAAAAAAAGCATATTATGCTTTTAGCAGTGCTCATATTTTTTTTAGAAATTATGCCAAAATTATGCTACTTTCTGAAAATTATGCTCTCTGTCACCGAAATTATGCTACTTAGATTTTACACTGATTTTAAGGAAAATAAAGATCATCAGTAGCTTAACACTATAAATTTTGACTTTAATGAACATTCATATAGCCCACCTTCCAGTCTTACAGTCTTTAGCATCGCAAATACGCATGTGCGCACCTCGAAGAGCCAAATGATTAACAAATGATACCAAAATCAAGCGTTTCTGGGTTCTGAATCCGGGTCAGAAAGTGAAAGCCCGCATACCTGTTTTAGACGCCATCCAGGCAAAGCCCTCAGTTCAGTATAAAGACAACTATGCAACTGAGGCATTACACAAGCCTTTAAATAGTCCACGAGAGCATGCTCTTGTTAATCGTTGAACGATGAGTTAAGAATAGAGAATACTCGTTCAGTGGCTGCAGACGAGGGCTGCACCAGCAGACCTTCGTAACTGCAGAAGACCAATGTGGTAGGTTATCAGATTGTTGCCTCCACCACTTCACTTTATCTTCTTCGAAGGGCATGATGACGTCCTGGGCGGCGGCAAGATAAGTAGACAATCTCGCAGAAATGCACATGGTGACCTCTGCCGCCTGCCGGACCATATTTGACCATGGGCCTTAGCACAGACCTCAATATTTTCCAAAAACAATACAGAAATAAAATAAAAACTGAGTTATTCTAGAGCTATGATGGATTTTTTTGTTTTCAACGCATAAGAGCTCGGATTATGCTAGCAGTGCTAAACTGAAATAAAAGCTTAAAATAATGCTCTTTTTACTGAATTATGCTTACAATTATGCTAGCACAATCTACCAAAGCCTAGGCGTCACAGGCCTTCAGCAACGCCAGCACCTGTAGAACATACTTCCTCTTGTTAAGAATATCAAAGGCTTTCCACTAAAGGTAAATCGTTTCGAAATACTGCAACATATCAAAACCTCCGGGGAGGGGTTTGCGTGCACTTCCTAGGGTTAAAGATGCCAATTCCAGAGTTCATATCACTTAGGCGGTTTTCAAGACGGAACGCTGAAATTCTTACCCAAACAGGTATCGCTTGATCCGAAAATGTAACCACATTCAGACATTGGGAGCTAACCAACCAATTGAGCAAAATAACCGTTCAAAACATCGTTGAAAGGTTCCAAACAAAAAATGCAATAGAGGACACGAATAGACAAAACTGAAGAGTATTAACAAGGGTTTAGCTTTTAAAAAACAGAGGAAAGCCTAACAGTTTTTCAAAATTTATTACATGGTGGTTTTTAAAATTTTATTATTGCGCTTAGGATTCATGAATTTAGCAGTTTTAGCGAATGATTAAAAAATATATTGGATTCGCCTTTAGTTTCCTATGATGTAACGAACAATGCAGATCTTGGGGGGCGTTGGCCCCATAATTCTTCATATCATACGAAAGCTGCATTCAATAATTGCTAATTATGAGAATCAGTGATTTATCAAGGTTTATCTACAACACTATAGACTACAGTAATATGCGGTCATTAAAACAAGACACCGATTGGACCTCTTTCTGCGATTTTCAATTTCAAGGCGTTTTGACTTGCAGTGCATACGTCAAGAGGGCAGGACGGCGGGGGTGACTTGCAGGTCTCGTTGGGAAACATCAAATTTCTTCTTATGACGTGCCGATTAAGAGCATTTTAAAATAAATCAGGAGCGCTATCAGAATTATTTGAACTAGACAGCTTTAGCTTTACAGGAGAGATGATTATGACTAGATATAAGAAACTAAAGTTAGGGTACTGAAACATTATTAAAAGTATCAAAGCGGCAATTAACAATGAATTACTAAAATGTAAAATTACTAAAATGCTAAAATGTATTCTTCTTTAGATTTATTCTTCTTACAAGAAATCATGATAAAAAGTGAACTTTAGGCAAAGGCCGTCTCCTCACACTGCAAGTAGCAAAGCATCGCTTTCGAGTCTTATTTTGCACTCAACGTTTGAAACAATTATGAACATATCTCCTGGAAATCTCACCACAGGCAAGCAGCAAAGTTTCTCGCACTGTTGAATATTATTCGAAGGAAGATCATCGCGGTTATATACGCAACTTTTGCAGTTGCGAAAAGAAAGCCTGAAAAAAAAAAAATCAGGCTTATACAGGATTCGAACCCTTAACCTCTCAGATACCAGTGCAGCGCTCCGATCTTTAGTTGCGTTGCGTCTATAACTGCGATGATCTTCCTCCAAATAATTCTTCACTTCGCTGTTCACATATATGATTTTTATATATTCATAATTTCAGTATTAAATATGTTCATTGTTTCGATGCACATACTGATCCAATCTTTCAAAATCTTGGTATCTTAAAATTTCATGATATATACTTAATACAACTAGGCTTATTCATGTACTCCTATCAAAGCCATACCCTACCTTTAAAATTTCATTGTAAATTTACCTTACAAAGTCAAATTCATTCGTATAATACAAGAAACTCGTGTAAATTTCGTCTGCCTTTCTGTCGAACTCGAACCAAACAATTTTCCTTTTTTTATCAAGGACCTAAATTTTACAACACGTTAAACACCAACATCATCAACGCTTCCTCACCTTTCTCCTTTAAAAGAGCACTTAAGGCATTTATTTGTAATAATTATAAGTACACTCCAACAAAAATCTTGGGAAAAAGCCTTTTAATATTCAACATTTGTAAACTTCCGTAATATTGATTAGTTTAATTTTTTACCTGATATTATATTGTATCCGTCGCCGTAATTTTTATGCCATCTTCGAAAAATTGTAATTGAGAAGGCCTAATTAACATAAGCTCTATAGTTTCTTTTAGGCCTCCTCGCCATCTCTTCCTACATTTTTTTTTTTGGCATCTTTTTGTAATTATTGTAATCCTGTGGCAAATAAATAAAATACCTAATACCTAAAAGGGATCACACGGGCTCTAAAAAGCAGTATACGGTCTTTCTTGAAACTGATAATCATGATCTCTGTGCTTTATGCGTTTATGAGTCGATGATATAGTACATGTGCCTTTATGAGTTTACCTGGTTATTAGATAGTTCTCAGAAAATTCGATCTCTTTGATGAAAACAGGCGATCTGTTCCTACGCAGAATAATGCTTAACAATTTTCCCAGAG